GGGGCAGTTCACCTCTGGCCTGTAGGGTCGCTATGAGTGCAAATGGACTGCAAGAATACGGAGCTTCAAACCTCTTTCGTTTTTTCAATTTTCCCATGAACTTTTGGAAGTCCCTTTTCTGAATAAACAGAAGAACAAATCCACGAACACAGGATCTCTGAGGATCCCAGGATCTCTTTTCCAAAGGTTCTGGCCTTGGCATCCAAATTGAGATTCCCTGGGTGTTGCTGCTGCTGGCCCTCTGCCTGGCTGGGGGAGGCCTGCTTAGCCTGGCTCTGTTCCACACAGCTCGCCTGGGCATGTCTATATAAAGGGGAAGGGGGCAGCCCAGTTGCCACTGTCCATCTGCCATCTGGGCTGTCCAGCCTCACTCCCCTGGCCCCAGGACCTGGGCTCGGCTGCCTTGGCATTCATTCTTCCTGTTGACTTAACCACTGTCCCTGAACCTTGCCCATCCCCCAAGGCCCAGCCTAGACCCTGAGATGGATGAGGTGGGCTCCCTTTGGACTTTCCTTGTCCTCCCAGATGACCGGTGAACTTCTCCAGACTTCTTCACAGATTCAAGGCAGGGGCCAGCTTCCCCTTGACCTCCTTAGAGAAGGTCCCTGGCTGCCAGTTGCTGACCTCCTTTCCGGTCTGGTCTGCTCATCATGAGTACAGACTTGCAGACCCACACAGCAGTTCAGGAAAATGGAGACAATAAAAGCTGCTGCCTCCCAAGAGGAGTGCTCGGCGAGGTCACGTGGTTAAAATGCCCAGCACAGCGTGTGGCACACCGTAACTCACAACTCACTGCCCCCAAGTGGACTCTGACTCACAGTGACCCTGTAGGGCAGAGTTCAGCTGCCCCTGTGGGTTTCTGAGGCGGTTAAATGTGTATGGTAGGAGAAAGCCTCATGTTCGTTCCATGGTGCCAGTGGCTGGGGGGTTAGAACTGATGATCTTATGGTTGGCAGCCTAACAGATAACCCACTGGACCCCCAAGGTTCAATAAATGGTGGCTGTAGCAGTCACACACACCCCCCCCCTCCAACATTCCAGTTGCCAAGCTCAAACCCCATGTTCATGGCCCAAGTTCGATGACCTTCACCCGAGCTCCCATTTACCACAGACTCCCTGCGAGGGAGGTTCTGACTCTCCCCAGCAGACAGCTGAGGAAACAGGGGCTCAGAGAGGCAGGACCATCAGCTCAAGGTCACATGGCTCCCAGAAGCAGTTTGGGTCTTGGGTTTCACATCATAGAGTTGGGCTCTTCCTCCTCCACCATGCTCACTCTGCGGTGCGATGGTCCTTTTCCACCTTGGAGCAAGTGTGCTTCCTGAGGTGGGGTGAGAAGAGGGGTGCTCCTTAAGGCAGAGGAGCAGGGCGGGTCCTCCTCCTGAGAGTCTAGGATGTCAAGGCCTGCCACCTGCTCCCAGGCTTCAATTTCTCTGCAAGGGCCCTTGGCTAAATTAGGCCATGGGCTAGGGCTCTGGGAGGGGTGGGGGCTTGCTGACCCCAGGATCTGATTGGTCAGGATATTCGTTCCCGGGAAGCCAGGAGGGGGGAGGATAGGGGCCCTACAAATGCGGGGGCTGGAGTGGGCCAGGGCATCCTTGGGTGGTGCCGTGCTGAGGAGGTGACCTGTGGCAGGGGAGTCCCACTAACCTGTAACCATGGTAAGGATACAAGCCCTGGTTCTTTCACTCACAGGAACACCTTGGGGCCTCTCGGGGGACAGAGCCAGGTGGTCTGGGTGGGGGGCAGTGACGTCGTTCCCTGAAACTAGAGGAGGAAGGTGTTCTGGGGAACTCATGTTTCTTCCCAGGAGAAAGCTGAAGGGGAGGGCGGGGGATTCCAGGGCTTGGTTCTCCAGGCTTGCCCGTTCTTCCAGCCCTTCCGGGACCCCCACCATGTCAGCCACAGAGCTGTGAGCGCAGCTTCGCCTTCTCCTTCATGGTGCAGCTCGGGTCTCAGAGAGCCAGAGTGAGTTAGTGAAGGTTACCCAGCAAGCCAGGGGTAGGAGTGGGCTGGAGGAAGGTTCCAGTGGAAGATGGGCGGCCTGCAATGCCATGAGCCCCGAGGGTTCACTGAGGGGGACAGACCAGAGCTGGAGAGACCTCAGTCTCGCAAGAAAGGTTTGGATTTGGGGCTGTCATTTTCCTTTGAGACTCCCCTCCCCACTTCAAGGAGTAACTAGACTCCAGAGGCCAGCTGCTTCGGGTGACACAGGACTAATAATAGCCTGCCCTCTTGGCATAGGCAAAGGTGGGGGAGGGGGCAAGGAGCAGGGCCAGAGGCCGAAGAAAGCCTTGGATGGATGTCTCAGCTTTCCGCTCCGCCAGCCTCTGGCCAACGGCCCCTCCTCCCATGACCGCCTACCCTGATGGCATGGCCTGGGTGTGATGGGAGCCCCCATAGCAGTCTTATTCCCACCCCCTAGCAGGCAGCAGACAGGGTCTTTACTGACTGTACCATAACAAGGAATCTTAACAGTCCATCTTTGCCAGTTCTCGGAGGGGCAGGAATGATGTGGCCCACTCTTCTTGGTCGTTCTGGTGCCTGGTTGTGGCTCGGCACGTAGTAGGTGCACAATAACTTTGTGGGGCATGTCATTACGTATCTGAGAACACACATTTCTCAAGGACCTGCTAAAGCACTAGGCACTATTGCCCAAAGCCACTGCCATCGAATCGATTCTGACTAATAGTGACCCCATATGAGGGTTCCTTTACGGGAGCGACGGTCTCTAGGAAACGCTGGAAGACCATGCCGGAGAGATCTTGCTGGCCTGCAGCAAGGGCCTTTCACACCCATGGTTTCATCTCTGTGGTGAACGTCAATCGTGATTTAACCTGAGCCACTTGCTCAAGCTCACGCCGAGGTGGGGAGTGTTCCCAACCTGACTGGAGAGGGACCAGTGAGGAGGCCTTGGGTACAACCAGCCTTCTTAGCGCTAGTAAAAGGGGCTGGGTACTTCGGGGTCCTGAAGGAGGGGTGGCAAGGTTGGACCTGGTCTTCTGAAGGAAGCAGGGGGGCGGGGGCAGGTGGAGGCTCTTCCAGAGAGGCAGGGTGGGGAGGAGGAGAAAGGTATGGTAAGACTCTTCCCTAGGGCTGGCCTTTCTCCTCTGACTCTCTGTGTTTTCTGCAGACGGACCAGCAGGCTGAGGCCCGGTCCTACCTCAGTGAGGAGATGATTGCTGGTGAGTCAGGGTGGAGGGCTGTGTGTGTGTGTGTGTGTGTGTGTGTGTGTGTGTGTGATGCTTGGTGGAAGGCAGGTGTCACCTATGCTGGGGGATCTAGAGGTGATTGGGGACTCAGTTCCCTCCCCTTGGGCCTCCCTCCCTCCTGGCAGAGTTCAAGGCCGCCTTTGACATGTTCGATGCTGATGGTGGAGGAGACATCAGCGTCAAGGAGTTGGGCACGGTGATGAGGATGCTGGGCCAGACACCCACGAAGGAAGAGCTGGACGCCATCATCGAGGAGGTGGATGAGGATGGTGAGCGGGTAGCCCTCCTTGGCCAGGCTGGTGATGGTGGGGAGAGGCGGGTGCCCTGCGCTCAGGCCCAGCGGGCCACCGTCTCCCCGCAGGCAGCGGCACCATCGACTTTGAAGAGTTCTTGGTCATGATGGTGCGCCAGATGAAAGAGGACGCCAAAGGGAAGAGCGAGGAGGAGCTGGCAGAGTGTTTCCGCATTTTCGACAGGTGCCCTGGGGGCCCGGGCGGGGCAAGATCCTGGGGGGTGGGGTGGGGGATGATGGGGTGACCAGGCGCCCCGGGCCCTGAGCCTGCCCCTGCCCCTCCGTCCCAAAGGAACGCAGACGGCTACATCGACGCCGAGGAGCTCGCTGAGATTTTCAGGGCCTCTGGGGAGCACGTGACGGATGACGAGATCGAGTCCCTGATGAAGGACGGTGACAAGAACAACGATGGCCGCATCGACTTCGACGGTGGGGGCCCCGGGGGCGCGGCAGGGGCGGGGCGGGGCGAGCATGGCTGTGGCGGGCACCCACGGGGCCCCGATGCGCGGCTGGCCTGGGCTTGGTTCTCGTGACCAGGGTGGGCCCTGACCTCTCTCGTCCGTCGGCTTCCCTGCAGAGTTCCTGAAGATGATGGAGGGCGTGCAGTAAGGCGTGGGCACGGAGACCCACCTCGCCCTCCGCGGCGCCCGCGCCTCCCAACCCCGCCGGTCCCATCGTGCGCCCGGAGCGAGGCGCGGACCCTCCGGGTCTGTGTGCGGCAGGAATGAATAAAAGCCAACTTTGCCAAGCGCGTGGTCTGAGTGACAGGAGGGGGGGTGGGGGCCTCGGGGCCGACGGGCCACCGTCTAGGCGACGCCCGGAGGACCTGGGAGCCCAGGGATTCTCGGGTGCGAGGAGGCAGCGGCTGCCGGGTGCAAGGGGGCGCTGGCCAACTTGGCGGGTTGGGGGTCGGCCACCGGCAGCTGGCGCTGGGCGTGGGCAGCTCCGCGGACAGATGGGAGGAGGGAGGCCGCAGGGGCTTCGGGCCAGCGGATGGAGGGCGCACGGGCGGGCGGGGCAGCAGGCTGGAACGGGCGGGGTGGGGCGTGGGCTGCTGGGCCAGACAGTAGCTGCCACTTCCCGGCCTGCCTTTCTTTCTGGAGCCTTTGGAGGCTGGGCTATGGGTTTGCGGGGCGTGTGTGTGTGTGTGTGTGTGTGTGTTGTGTGTGATGTGTGGTATGGTGTGTGTGGTGTAGTGTGTGTGTGTGTGTCCACTCACATCCCTGCTAGTCCTTCCTGCTGGTCTGTTCTTACTGGGGATTGGAGGGGTGGGACACACACCACTGAGGAGGTGCTGCCCTGTTATGCCAACCCTAGATCCCAATCCCTGCCTCATGCCCTCTCCGAGGAGCAGCTTCTAGAATTCAAACCTGGGTCCCTCACTCTACCCCTCCCTCCCTGCTCCGAGGCTGTGGGACTCCAGCCACACTGGGCCACCTTTGTTGAGCCTTCAGGCTCCGGGCTGTTTGCAAACGTCAAGGCCTTTGCTCCCAAAGCTTCTCCTCATGGCAAAATGTTCCACTCACAAGACCCCCTGAGCTCTCCCGTCTCATCCGTGCTGGAACTCCTTGTCCCCAGGCCATCACAGCTGGGCATCAGGCCATAATGAAGTGAGCGTTGGTCCTTGTAGTTTAACTGTAGAGTCAGCCTGCTGGAATTTGCATCCTCACTGTGACTCGTGCCTTGTTTTCTGCATCTGTGAACTGGAGACAATACTGAAGCTGTGTGTCAAGTGCTTAGACTGGCACCTTGCACTCAGTGAAGATGTGACAAACACCGAGGGCCCACCCTGGGGTCAGACTGATGCACGGGAGCCACACTATGCCCCGCAGGCTTCCCAGTGACCGTTGCCATTTGTAAGCACATTGCCAGATGTTGCTCCAAGGTGCCTCTGGAGGGGTTTGAACTACTAACTTGACACTTAATGGTCAAGCTTTTAATACATGTTATGATCATCCTCGAGGGGCCCTGGTGATGGACCTAATGGGCTACTCATTGAGCTACTAACAAGGTCAGCGGTCTGGAAGATGAGGCTTTCTATCCCCTCAGGATTGACATTCCGGGAAACGCACAGGGGCGGCTCTACTCTGTCCCATAGGGTCACTGTCAGAATCGACTAGATGGCAGTGAGTTTTTAAAATGTGTTATCATCATTACCATGCTCATCATCAGATTCCTGAAACGCAGAACTGCTCTTCCTCATTGCTTCAGCCCTCCTTCTGGGTCCCCCTCATGTTCTCTTCGCTCCTTCTGTTGCCTTCACAAGTCTCCATCTGTATCTCTGTGTAATAGTCATCAGTGTTGATTTCCCTCCTCTGTAACATGGAGGGAAGGACAGTAGGGCCACTGAGGGCCTACTGTGTGCTAAAAGGAGCTCTGGTGTTCTGTGGGCTAGGCAGGGAGTTGCTAGCCACACGGTGGTGGTTCCAACCCATCAGGGCCTGCTGTCTACCTGCTCTGCAATGACTTACGTTGGAAACGCAGGTCTGCTCTACCCCATAGGGTCTCTAATGGCCAGAATGGCTCAACAGTGATTCTTTGTCTCATTAAGGCCCCTGTGACCAGACCTGCCTGTGCTCTTAGGTGGGCTCTCCTGACACCTTAGGTGTTCTGCCTTAGGTGCCCCACCTCTGTGCTTTCCCAGCGAGTCTAGCAGCCAGCCTTTTTTGGGTGCTTATGAGTGTTCTAAGGTCCTCGTCACGCTCCTCTGAGGCAGGCACTAGGATTTTTCCGTTTTCTAGTGCCCATTTGCCGGAGTTGACTCCGGCTCACAGCAAGCAAGCCCACTGGACAGGATCCAACTGCCCTCCAGGGTTTCTCCAGCTGAGTGGGCTGGTGGGTTCGATCCATTGACCTTTCAGTTAGTAGCTGAGTACATCAAACTGCTCTGTAAGGACTCTTTTTTCACAGGCTAAGTGTGAAGACAGGTATAAGCAACACGGAGTGGAATTGGGATTCTAATAGAGATTTTTTTTTTGCCTGCTGGTAGGAGTGCACACCCCCCCCCCATAAACTGTTGGGGGTGAAATATTAACCTAATTTCCCCCCCATTGAATTTCTTGTTAAAGGCTCCACGTAAAATGTTTTATAATTCTAAAAAACAGATTTACAGCCTAGGAAACTCAAAAGGGCAGTTCTACCTTGTTCCATGGAGTTGTAATCGACTCGATGGCAATGAGTTTGGAGGTTTTTTGTTTTAAAATATTATTTTGCCATATCTTACACCATTCAATGTATCCATTCACCTATAATTCTGCTATTCATTTCCCTTGAGTGGGGTTATACAGTCATCATTGCTATCAGTTGCTCCTTTCCCACCTCTTCCCATACCCTCAGGGAATCATTCCTCCCACTATTGTTTCTGAAGGGTTTATTTGAAAAAATAACTGTTAGTCTAATATTTATTTACTCTGTTGCAAATGCCAGAATCAAATTGGTTTAAAGAGATGCTGTATTGGTTCATGAAACTGAGAAACTCCAGCCTGGGCTGGAGGCCAGGGACTCAATGTCCCCCTTGGTCTCTTCGCCCTGGGTCTGGTTCGCCATCTTCCCTCTGCAGCTGCCTCCACCAGAAGCCCTTCCTTTCAGCCACCCAACTAGTAGAAGCATTTCTCTCTACAAATGACAGATTGATTGTGGAGAGTCGACTGACGTAAGGGAGGTCAGGTAGCAGACAACGTGGGGGAACAAACATGAGGGAGGAACACACAGAGCCTTCAGCAAAGG